AGATGAACCCCACATAAAGGAGAAGCCAACGAGACGGAGACCAGTACGGAAGAAGATACGTCCCGTAAAATTAAGAGACTTTACTGAATTGTAATTTTGTGATTGTAATTCTGTACATTTGATTAAGTTGTTGTTAATTGTTATTGGTTTATTGTAAGTGGCTATTGTTCGGGACGAACAATACTAAGGAGGGGCAGTGTTGCGTCAGCAAAGTCACATGACTAGTGTGACGCCACGTTTGTAAAACTATCCTGTACCTTGGTGAATGCCCTAGCATTTACTAGATAGGGTAGTCTGGTATATATATAAGAGGGTGACAATGTGACGGAATAATGTGTGTGTAGGTAGTGAGTAATTGAACTGCAGTCGGAAGTATTGTTGAAGTTAACGTTCGTTGTTAAAACGTTTGTAAAAGAGCGACTGTTGAAAATAAGTGTATCGGTAAAGTTATATTCAGAAAGAATAAACCAGTTTTATTAAGTAAAGACTTGTGTCGCTAAAGTTTCGTCGGAACGAAGTTATGGAAAATCAATTAACAAACGGAGACGTAACAATATTTAAACGGTTATAATATAATGGAATGTACGATATAATGTGCGGCATACACTTGTTTAATAAATAACATTGTTAAGAGAAACTATTATAATGAAAGGCTTAAATATAAGTATAAAACTTATATTTAAATAATAATATATATCAAATTAAAACACTGAAGATCCAGAATTGATTACATTAATGACAACAGGGAGGAAATGATGTTATTATTTAGTGTTGGGTAATCATTTAAAATGGAGAAGCTTTCTTTAATAAAGAGTTCGTAATTTGTGGTTCTGTAATCTTACTAAATTTCCGATTGAATACGAATACTCGCTCAATGCTATTGTTGTTTTTTGTGATTCGAATATTATGAACTAACTTGTTTTTTTTTTTTTTTTTTTTTTTAGATAATAACGCTGAACAGGGAATTTAAGGAAATTCCGAAACGTACGTATTAAAGTTGTTTTTTGGTTTTGCCGTGTTTTAAATTTTTATTATAAGACTTCGTTTTCCACCTGATAAATCCGTCGCTACCAAACTGTACAAACACTAAGTTGAAATACATACTACATGAACTGTATCATATCAACACGAGATGCTCCGCTTAAATATCATGTGGCCTGTACAAACACTACATGCGTAAGAGTCCCGTTACACTTTTAACTAAGATTTTACAGTCATAGATGAAATACGTGCCCATAAAAACAACAGACAACCAGTTTTAATCAAGATATTTCCAATAAGATTTGGATTCACTTAGTATACAATTACAATCAAGTAAACGTACATAAAAAATAGACCTTTGACTTTTGCTTGCCGTATGATGCCTAATTTATACTCTTATATGGTATATTATAAGCATACGATAAACCAATCACTAAAAATATATGATTTGGGATGAACAATTTCGTTACTTTCAGGGTTTTATGTATCAGTGGGCTGGGATTCTTCTACAGTAAGTGTCTGTGACTTGTTGGCGATAAATTCGAACAATACACGGACAGCACGCAATCCACTTGTTTTAAAATAATATATTTAAAACAAGTTAAAAGTATGTACAAAATTCTTTACACTATAGAATATCACAGTTGTATCTAAAACTGAATAATTATATTTTCTTGTCAAAGTCCACTCAGGTTGATTCAATTACTTCAGAATCTAATTGACAAGACGAATTATTTTTCTCAACTCCATTTTTTACTGTACAGTCTGCGATAGATTCACTTATGATACCCCGTGGTTTACTACAGTTGTATCTCGAAGTTATTACTAGCTTTCTACTTAACTTGCATTCGCGAGCCACCAATATCTTGTTCACTGAAACTTAGAATTTTCGACAAACTACGCGAGCGGCGCTAAAATGTAACAATACCCAGTTAAGATAACGAGAAAAATACCGAAGATTCGAGTAACATGACGTGAACAATAATTAGTAAAGGCTAAACAACAATGTAATTGCAAACACAGCGTACGAAATTTGTCACAACTAACACTTTGAAAACAATCCATCTTCTACACTCCTATCTTAAAAACTAAACAAGCATTAAATATTAAGTCACAAAATAAACTAAATAATAACAATGGTTGCGTTCAATTTTTCGAGGATAAAAAAATCACAATATTCAGTCCAAACATCAAATTTATATAGCCGTAATTTTAGCTGCATCATTTGCAATAACGGGCGGGTTTCTATACTGTTGACCAGGGCAGCAAGTGAGGTTTCGGTTTTGTTGTTTCGGTGGCACAATAGTGGACCATGTAAAAAATGTGTCCATTATGTTAACAACCCAATATAATAATGGCTGGAGACGGCTTAA